GGGAGTTGACGAACCATCCCCTCGGTAACTTTTTGTGTGAATAGCATTGTAACTCAGACATCGCACACCTGATTACTTATGTACCCCAGTCCTGATAACTTTGGCATAACTTTTGGCATGAGGAGGGTGGGGGGGAGGGGGTCCGGTAACATTTGTGTGAATAGCATGGTAACCCACACATTTGCAGACCTGATAACTTATGTACCCCTGTCCTGATAACTTCGACGAGGGGGTTGATTAAATATACCCACGGTAACTTTTCATGTTAATAGCACGGTAACTCACGTCTCGCAGACCTGATAACTTATATACCCCGGTCCTGATAACTTTGGAGACCGGGGGTAGGGGAGGGAGGGGCATCATGAAATATACCCCCGGTAACTTTCATTGATGAAGTGGAATTTTTTTCTAGAAAAATAGCTTTGTTTTTTCTTATGACAGCAGTAAGAAAGAGTTTAAAAGAATTTCGTTTTCAACTAATGAACAACAAACTAGGCTGGCGTGATGGTAGTTGGGATTGTCCTTTCCATCTCGACGCAGGTTCGAATCCCGTGTAGGTAAAAAAATTCGCGTTTTTAATTACGGTGCAATATATCGATCAGGAGGAGAACCGGAATAACGGGTGGAGCGTTGTTTCAGGCATCGAGGGGATCATGGTCGCGTCATCGTGGAGGTATAAATATTACTGAATTTAGTTGTAGCAATTATTTAAGTTAGTTCAGTTGGTTGCCAACAGCTATGGTGAACCATAGGTAATGGGTTCGACTCCCACTTCTTACATGTTTTTTTACCACGCCAGAAAAAAAAAGGGAGAAGGGAGGGTAAAAGTGAAAGTAAGGAGATCCATTAGATTAGAGTGGACGGTTGATATTAGAGCCTACAGCACCCATACAGTAACAACTGAACTGTAGAGGAGCCGAACCCACTGCACGGCATGCTCCTTTCCGGATGCCTTGGCTCATTTTGACTACTTGATACTTTATTACTTATTCTGCTGAACTGCACACGTGTTCATTTTCTTACATTCTACTGCATCGAAATTGTCAGCACAGATCACACACTCAAACGAGCTCAAGGACAGTGTTGTGCAACCTTGCAACTTTTCTCATTCTTTCACCGCTCTTATTTTGTTACAGAGAGATCGAGACCACCAACGGCCCAAGAAAATCACCCACGACGAACCTCGTCGATCGTGCCATCCCACGATCCAGCTCGTGCGGGCGTAGACTAGTTCTAGGGGAAAAACAATCCTAACAAATTTATCTACTCAGCTAACAAATCTCAGCTGAACTGCTAAATTTATCTACTCAGTCTAAAACAACTATTGTAGCAGCAAAACAGAAAACGCTGCCATGGCAGCAAAACGGAAGTCGCTGCCATGGCAGAGAAAATGGGCGCACAAGTGTTAAGTTCACAATCACTCCCTAAGCCTTGTGTGCCTTGTTGATTTCCACCATCCCGATTTTCTTGCGTTGCTCTTGGAGGTTGACCCGCCCGAGTTCTTTGGTGAACACATCAGCAAGTTGCTCCTTGGACCGAACGAACTCAATCTGGATCTTCCTGTTCTCCACGCACTCCCGAATGAAGTGGACCATATCTCAATGTGTTTGCTTTGGTTGCGGAAAACAGGGTTCTTACTCATCTTACTCAAAGAGATGGTTGATTTGTTGTCGACGTTGAGCAATGCCGCCCTTTGATCTTTATCCTTGATCTCCCCGAGCAGCCATGCTAGCCAGATGCCTTGGCAAGCCGCCGTGGTGGCGGCCATGCACTCAAATTCACACGAAGAAAGGGCCACCATGCTCTGCTTCTGTGACTGCTAGCTGACCAAGTTGCTGTCTAGGAAGTTGTGGAGCCGTCCAAGATCGCTCATGTCGAAGAGCGCAAGCATATCCTTCTTGAAGCACACAACTCCTCCTCGTCAGAACCGGTGATGGTCAAGTCATCGACGTAGACACCGACGACCAGCCGTGAGGACGTTGTGCCTCTGGCATACAAGAAGTGTTCGGACGGGCATCTACTAAACCCGAGTGATGCCAGGCTCGCGTCCAGCTTGGTATTCTAGGTGTGAGGGGCCTGTGTCAGCCCATAAAGGCCTTCCTCAGCTTGAGCACCTTGGCGTCTTCGCCGGCGACGATGAATCTTGACGGTTGAAGAAAAAAAATCAATGAGGAAGTTTCATCGCATTTAACGATACGGAGTCACCGCCGCCTCCTGTTCTTCATCCGGAGGCCAGATCTAGAGTTCATTTGGGGCTCCGAAGAGGGGGGCCTTTC